CCGCGTCGGTGGGGCTGGGGGGTTAGGGGTGCGGGCCCCGTCCGTCTGACCGTGGCGTTAGGGGTGCGAGCCCCGTCCGTCTGACCGGTGCGTCAGAGGTGTGAGCCCCGTCCGTCTGACTGGTGCGTTAGGGGTGCGGGCCCTGTCCGTCTGACCGGTGCGTTAGGGGTGCGAGCCCTGTCCGTCTGACCGGTGCGTTGCAGGGTATTCTGGGATCTGGCTTCGCCCTGAAGGTTCAAGAGCAGCACCGCCAGAAGCACTTTGAGAAGAGGCGGAACCCAGCTGCCGGCCTGATCCAGGTGAGGCCTTTCCTGTCCTCTGTGGGCAGGTGGTGTGGGGATGTCTGGCCAGTGTGTTGAGAAGCAACCTGGACACCTGAGGTCTCACAGCTGGCCGGTGGCATAACCTTGGGAGTGGCCTGGTCCCGTGGTACCACCCGGGTCTCCTGGTGGGCCTAGCACACCTGCTCTCTGACTGGGGCCTGGGTCTCTGGGAGGTGTCACTCGGGCAGTGGACAGCCCCTGCCTCGAGCCTGTCCAGGCCACTCGCCCAGCAGTCTGAGCACCCCGGACGTGAGCTGGACAGCAGGACCTGGTACCAGGCGTTCTTGTGGCTCCACCCCAAAGTCAGCCCTGCCCAGTGGCCTCGGAGCTGACCGATTGCTGTGCAGATGTGGCCTGGCCCCCCATGGTCGCTCTGGGCTGCAGATGTGGCCCTGGGGTCTTGGCCCTGGGCCTGACCCGTGCTGATGTGTGCAAGTGTTTACATACCCCTACAAAAACACAAAATGGCGTTTTTTTTTTTTTGATGCCAAAGAATATAAAGAACAGAATGCCTCATAATCTCACTCTACTTTTGACAATCTAAAAACGTTACCACAGGGGGCCAGCAGATGGTGTGGTGTTTAAGGCGTTGGACTTTCACATGGCTGACTGTGGTTTGAGTCCTGGACCTGGTGGCTTGCTTTCTCGCTTGTCTTTTCTCTCTCTGGTCAAATTAAAAAGTAATAACAATAATAGATAAAATTAAATAATTCTAAAAAAATGAAAACAAAAAAGTTACCACAGGGCCAGCGGGTGGTGTGGTGGTTAAGGCTCTGGATTCCCACATGGCTGACCACAGTTTGAGTCCTGGACCTGATGGCTCGAAAATCATGCTGGGTGTGTGTGTGGGCCCAAGATCCCAAGAGGAGCCTGGAGGAGGAGGGATCGCAGCATGGCCATCCCTGTGGGGGCTAATTGCTCACTTTCCCTCTCGCTGTCTCTCCCGGCAAGCGGACACCCTATGGCAAAAACCTTAAAAAAAGAAAAAGTTGGCAGATGTGTGTGTTACGTTAGAAGAGTGTAGGGAGAAGCGTGGACCGAGTGCTCGCCTCCCTGGAAGGGCACTCTTCTTTTCAAGTTTATTTATGTTGCCCCTACGTGTGCACACGCGAGAGCGAGAGACACCCTAAGGCATTTTCCACTGTGACCTGTGTCCAGCTCGGCTGGCCTGGCACGTGTGTGTGCCCATGTGCTCGGACACTGGGCTGCGCACCTCACGCTTCCCCCGTGTGGTCCTGTTGGGTTAGTGCTTGCCCCCCAGCCCCGCCTGGCCCTTTGAAGGTCACTTTTTTTAATTCTGCCTGAGAACGTGTGCTTGCTGCAGAGAGCAGGAAAGCCAGCAGTCACCCCGTGTGGCAATCATGCTGCAACGTAGCCTTCCTCCCCACCCCTCCAGGGTTCCAGTGCCTGCATGTGGGCCTGGAGTGGCCTGCCCACTGGGCTCCAGCCCTCACTGCGCAGCTGCACAGCGAGTCGGGCCCATACCTGCCAGGCCCTGGCAGGCAGGTCACTGTCGGCAGTGGCTCACACGTCCAGCAGAGCGTGGCTGTGGTCTGTGCCTGTTCGGAGACGTGGCCTCACGGGACAGGGTGCACACTGCCAGCGTCCATGGCTCGTCCTGCTGGGGTGTGCAGGGGGTCAGTGGAGCTGGAAGCTCTCTCTCGGGGGATGCAGAGGTCATGCACAGGGCTGCATGGAGCCCCTGGCAGAGATGGAGCGGCTTGGGGCAGGTCAGGTTTGTGCCAGTGTTGTGACCTCAGGCGACCCCTCCAGGGTGGGTACAAGCAGGGGCTGGCAGTAAGTCTGGCACAGAGTGAGGCTGTGCAGGACACAGGTGTGGGGGATGGTGGGGGTACCACAGGCCTGGGCAAGCTCTGGAGGGTCGGCAGGACTGAGCACGGGAGGAAGGGGGGAGCAGGGGTGTGGCGAGCCGGGAGGAAGCCTGCCTAGGGGTTGGATAGGAGTGAGAGGGTTCAGGCCCAAGAAGCAGGGGCCCAGGACCTGCCCCCCAGAGCCCTACTCCTCACCAGGAGAGTCAGGTGGAAGTTCACAGACAGGGTGTCACTGACAATGGCAGACTAGTGGTCTCCAAACTCTACCCCTCTCCAAAGCAGTTCAAATGTCGAGACTAGACAGACTCGGGACCAGCAGTGAGTGTAATGGCTATGTCGCTGGACTCCCACATAGTCAACCATGGTTCGAGTCCCGGACCCGGTGGCTTAAACTCAGGCTGGGCGCGTGTGCGTTCGTGCCCAAGATCCCGAGAGGAGAATGGAGGAGAAGGGGTTGCAGCGTGGCCATCCCCCCTGGGGGGTGATTTCTCGCTTTCTATCTCTCTGTCTCTCTCTCTCTCTGTCTGGCGAGTGCACACGCCCTATAGCAGAAAAAACAAACAAAAAAACTAGACAGACTCAGACCTGAAGCCCCGGACCTGATCGGAACTGCGTGACCACCAAGGCAGCTCTGTGGAGGAGGGAGAGGGACTGCTGAGTGCGAGCTGTTCCAGTGTGGCCGCCAGCCACTGCTCCCCTGGGTGGTAGCAGCCCTGGGACAGGATTGGCATTCGCAGTGTGACTTGCTGGTGTCAGGGGACGTGATTTGGACCTTGTGCCCAAAGACTTGCAGTTCGACCACTCTGACGGCTCTTGGAGGGTCAGTCTGGCCATGGCCTTTGTTCTGCCTTGAAGATTTCTCTGGGCCTCGGTGACCTCCCAGGCAAGTGTCTGTCAAAAGCATTCAAATATGACGAGGGATAGCAGATGGGATGGCAGATGGGACAGTGGGTGGGACAGCGGATGGGACAGTGGGTGGGACGGCAGATGGGGCCCCAGATGGGGCAGTGGATGGGACAGCGGATGGGACAATGGCTGGGGAGGCAGCAGACAGGTCAGAAAGCCTGAGGAAGAGGCTTGGGAGACGGCCCAGGGGACAGTGCCTCCAGGGACGGGCATCCCAAAGGCTGCACCATGCCCAGTGTTGGATGGGGGTCAGAGATCACCAGAAAGCCCTCAGGCCGACCCTCGGCCTCCAGGCAGGCAGGAGTGAAGGCCAAATCTGAACAGCCTGGGTAAGGTTGAAGGGATCCCACAAAACCCATCTGTGAAGACAGATGGAGTGTCTTTTCCCTGTGGTTCCAGGGGTTCGAGTCTCTTAGCTGGCCACTGAGCTCCTGCGACAGACTCTGGGGGGTCAACCAGGACAAAGCTGCAGTCTTGGTCAAGAACCGTAGCTTGGAAGCTTGGCACACAGGAAGCCACGACCTGCAACAGCAGCTCAAACCCTGAGGGAGGAGGACGGCCTGGTGTTCACTGAAACACGCAGAATGTCCAGCTTTAACGAGGAGCTAGCCGCCTCTGCAGATAGCACAGGGCAGTCCGCTCGCAGGACGGCCGAGTGGGGACCGTCCCACAGAATTCCTGACGTGCCACTCTGTGGCACTCTGGCCAGTGTCCCAGACGTGCCCAACAGCTAAAGGAAGGCCCGAGGGGGCTCCAGGGCGGGAAAGTGACAGCCACCCAGGAGAGAGTGGCAAGGGCTTACAGTGACGCAAAGGCTCCCACTGCAGCCCTGGAGTGAGTCTTTGCAAAGCTCAAGTACCCCGAGCACTGTGGTGTCTGCCTCTGGAGGGACGCACAGGTCTGTGGGACCGAGTGGGGAGTCCAGGGATAAACCTGGGCCTCCCTGGTCAGCTGACCTCCACGAGGGTATTAGGTCTACCCAACAGAGAGAGTGGTCCCTTCACAACCGTGCGGGGACACGTCTGTGGCTTTGCCTGTTGGGATTTAGTTCTTAATTCCTGATAGGGCTGTGCACAAAGAGTGGGAGAGGAGTCCTCCACACAGTCTGCTCCTGCCTCAGCCCCTCCTCGGCATGGGACCCGAGGACACGCCTGGCATGCCCCAGCTGGCCGGGCCATGGTTCGAACCGCGGTCGCTGTGTGAGGTCCTTGAGTAGCATATTACCACCGTGCCATGGAGCCAGCTCCTGGGTATCTGTTTATATTTTATCTTTTCAAGTATTATTTAATTTTATTCGTTATTTTGAGTCAAACCACCATTGACCATTGGGAGTCCAGCACCTTTAACTGCCGCACGACCTGCTGGCCCCTCGCTATCTGCTTTTAAAAGAATGAAATCTGACCCTTGTTTCATACCATGCACACAAATCAACCGAATGAGTCGGCGACATAAATACCAGCGGAAGCTGCCAGAGCCCTTGGAAGGTGAAGGTGTCCCCACGATTTCACCAGAAGCACGGGGGATGGAGACAGGATGCAGCAGCGTGGGGAGCTGCCGTGCGCTAGGGCCCGTCCATGTCAGGGCCTGTACCAGGTTACAGGCTGTGCTCCCGGCACAACCACCACAACGCAGACAGCCCCAGAGTCGCCGGGCGAAGGGTGTGGACGGCCCTCTCTCTGGAGAAGACGCACAAATAGCCCAGCATGCTCATGAAGAGCTGCCCAGTAACCTAGTCCTGGGGAAGGCGGTTCGAAACCACCAGGTGCCACCTCTCCTGCAGAACGGCCCTGCCTGCAGCCACAGGCTGTAGCAGGACCTGCAAAGTTGCCCGCCAGGGGTGGCCTGAGGGAGGGTCGGCCGAGGGCTGGTCCAGCCTGCCTGGACAGTGCAGGGCCGAGGCCCTCCTGGTGGCTGCTGCCTCCCCGGCCCTGTCCGCGGCTCCAGGCTGACGCCCCTCTCCCCTGCACAGTCGGCCTGGAGGTTCTACGCCACCAACCTGTCGCGCACAGACCTGCACTCCACGTGGCACTACTACGAGCGCACCGTCACCGTGCCCATGTACAGGTACCGCCGCCCGCCGGGCCTGCGTGTCAGCTCCGCGTTCACTTCCTTTGCTGCTGAGACCCATCTTTGGTGGTTTATTATTTTCATTGTTTTTGTGTCTTTTCATTTAAAAGGTATTTTTCGGAAAGGAATTCTGTGTGTGCTTTATTTCTGTCGGAATTTTGTTCTCATTCTGCGGCACGGGGCTTTGATTTTTTGCCTTCATTCCCTCACCCTGGGCTTAGTGTTCTCTGCTGGGATGGCTCCTGCCATGAGCCTCCTGGACAGCCAGTGAGCGAAGGTGGCCTTGGCCCGCCGTCCCCCAGGGCCCAGGTCCTGGTGGGGAGGCGGAGGGTGACCCGAGTCCCCAGGAGGCTCAAAGACTGGGAGTCTGATACCGGAGCCTGGACGGTGCATGGACACGTTGGTGCCCTGGGGCAGCAGGGGTGCCTGGGCTTCCTCTCAGGCCCTGTGAGTGCCAGTCGGGGGACAGCTTCCCATCTGGTCCCCTGGGCAGGCGACGGGGGGCAGGCGGGCAGGCCTGATGCCCAGCCCAGAACTCCTCTGTGAGGGGCACTTCCCTGTCCACCCCTGCTCCAAGGTGGAGAAGCTGAGCCTGACAGCTTTACCCTTCCCTGCCCCGGGGTGACTTCCTGGGGCTGTCCCCAAGGGCTGGGTGGGCACACAGTTCTGCAGGTCCTCTGCAGTGTCCTCATGGCTCAGGGGCCTCTCGAAGGTCCTGAGGTCAGCATCGGCTGGACAGGAGCCTGGTCTCACAGGAGCAAGTGCCCTGGGGACGTGGCTGGCTGCTGCTCCCAGCACGGCGGGAAGGCTGGGTCTGGAGCCTGACCTTGTTCCGGGCAGTGGGAAGGACCGCCTTGCGCTAATGTCCTTTGTTCTGTTCCCCCACTTTCCTCGACTGTTTTCTCGTTTTCTTTTCCTTACCCCGTTCTTTTTGAACTTTCTGTTCTTCCCGTGTGTGTGTGAAAACACGTGCAAGCTCGCAAACACAAACCTACGGTGCGTCCAGGTAGGAAACGCATGGACAGAGCGTGTGTGGTCTTCCCGTCTGCCTGGCGCGCAGGCCCGCCCTGCTGAGCATCGCCTGCACCTCTGTCCGTGGTCCCACGCTGGGTGTCGTCAGGCCTTGTCACTGTGTTCCCTCCCCCGCCTGACCCCATGACCCTTCCTTCCTGTGGCTGGACCTGCCCTCAAGGTGCCTCTGTCCTTCCTGCTTTGCCTGTCCCCACCCATGCCTGCCCTTACCCCGCCCCAGACAGCAGGTGTGGGGCGTGGGGCTAACACTTCCAGCTCAGGACCCCCTCCACCTCCCGGCTCAGGGCCCCCCCACCTCCCGGCTCAGGGCCC